GGCGGTGGAACTGTTGGTAATGAAGTAATGCTTCGTTGAGAGGTAAACGATTGCGTCGGGGTGGTGGAGGCAGGTAGCGGAGGTGGGGGTGGGATGGAGAAAGATGGTTGAGAAGCGGAGGCTGAACTGTTCTGAGAACGATAATCTAAGAAGGGCGATGGGGGTGGAGGAGGTGGTGGGGGCGGAGGAGGAGGTGCACTCGAGTATGCAGGCGGGGAAGAAGCTTGTGGCAGTGGGGAAGTTAGGGTCAACGATAATCGAGTAACACGGCCCGGTGTCGTGTCGTTTCCGGAAGCCTTCGCGTCCTTCGAACCACTTGCGACTGATGTCGAGCAAGTGGCACTCGAAGATTGCTCTTGAGAAGTCGCATCCTGAACGATAGTCTTCTCCAACGATGAACCGAGCGTTCCAGAAGATTTCCCTTTGGATAAATCTTCGGAAATTGCTTCCGGGAAAGTTGTCGTAGGAGATGTCTGCGTGGATTTACCTTGAGTAGTTTTGTTTGCATGTTTCGCTAGTTCTCGAAGTTTTTCGAGTTCCCGTTTCAGCGACTCCTTCTCGGAATCTTGTTGGTCTTTCGCGGAAGCTCCTTGGGAAGTTAAACTGGCAGATATAGATTGCGTATCTTTGCATTGGGACTGATCTTCCTGAAACAAGTGGCACGTTTGTTTATTTTGTTTTTAAGTACATGATCTTTGACATCCACTAGAACGAACAGACGTCTTACTGTAAGCTCCTTATTCCGCGTGACACCATCAAGCGTAATTGATCCGATAATACCATCCGATACAAGTCTGGAATATATTCCAGCCGCAAATTGTTTGACTTCGGCTTCCGTAAGTATCGACTTTAATTGATCCGGCAGCGCCGAGATTAACGTTCCAACGATTCGTCGTTCTGAAAGATTAAAATATTTTTTAATTCTTCCCTACTTCTTCTCGTCGATTGCACGTTTTCTACCATGCAGTCTCACCCGATCATTCGTTTCAAAATCAAGCAAAACTCGAGGAAACGAGACAAACATCGAACCTGTGCAACTTTCACTGATCGAGTACGGTTTAATGACAACTTCGTTTTTGGCCTCGACGACGTTCCAGCCTTCGTCCGGCATTTGCGGCTGCTCTTATCTGCACGTGACTCTGAACTTTTCCGACTTTAGGCTCACATCGTAACTGGATTTCCACGAAAACTCAACAGCGATCCACAGCGTTCGCCTTGCCGTCGTCGTCTGTGCTCGTTTTCCGTAATTTGGAAAACGTCGCGCGATAAATAAATGTTGGCCGCTTTGTTAACCTCTGACAGCGTCGAGATAATTGCCAATCATATATCTATACAGTTCGCCTTTACTCGAAACATGCTCCTTTCCGTAAAAACGATCTCGAAGCCAGCAACTATTCGGAAGAAATGCCACCTCGATAGCTGCCCACGTCATATTGAATGGCTAACGATGAATTTTTTACGACGTCCCGACGAATTTCACTTTCAAAATGGGAACGTGATCATCGCTCTATGTTGAAACGGGCTACATCGCGAAACACGAGTGCGACACGTGGCGAAATCACGCCTCCCTGATAAACTTTATCTCGTTTCTTATCGAAGCTTTATCGAAGCGGAATACCTATTACTCTCGGTTGTACATCGTTACCGGCGCTTCGCGAGTAAACAAGTTTCTCGTTCGCCTCGTTTCCTGATTGAGAAATTAAAATGAAGTTACGGATCGTTTGAGAGTACGCGGTATCATTTCTCCGAGCAAGTAAGCTATCGTAATTACGTAATTAAAACTACATTTTATCGTTTACGACAAGCTGATACAAAAAAAATTTGTTAAACCGACATCGAAATGCCATTTTTAACGATCGGGCCATATACTTTGAAACGTCCTGTAACTCATTTTTAAATCTCGTATTGAGGTTACCAATAAGAGAAGATACGAGTTCCGCTCACCGAAAAGCGGGGACATGGAAGACGGTCCGACCTCGTGACTCTTCAAAACAAGCGCCAATGACGTCGAGGCTGCTTCCTCTTTGGCGCCATTCGTGGCGCCGGCTAATTCTTCGGGATCGGTAAACACGCTGTCGCTCGAAGATTCTTGGCTAGGTGGCATCGAAATCTCAGTCACAACCATGCACTGATTGGCCAACCGCCATGAGTCTGTGACCAGAAGCGTAGGGTCTTGCTTTTGAATCTGATTTGTTGCTGGCAACAATGGCGCTTCCAATGAATTTTCTTTGGTCTTCGTTTCTGTTAGCCCGACTCGTTCTATCGCTCTTTGAAATCCATCTTCTTTATCGTGTTTTTCTCGTACCTGTGACTTCTTCCCCGAAAGCTCTGGTACAACTGGGCTGACCTATTTGAAATAAAGAATCAAGAAATTCCAAGTTATTTCGATATTAAGGTACTTGAAGAATCGATTTTGAATCCTGTGCCGTTTGATTTTGTCCGATTAGATATATATATATATTTTTCCTTTCATTAGGAGGATATCTGCAAAGAAATAGTGAATTTTTTCGAAATGGTGGAAGCAGGTGGTTGGAATAGTATAGAAAAATGGGCAAATTTTTTCGATTAACTCTTACACAAGAAATCACATTCTTTCGTACATCGTAGAATCATGTATATCGTACTTAAATTGCTTGAAATGCGGCGCCAGCATTTCAGTTAGCCTCGACTTCCGAAAACATCTGAACGTACCAGTGTGTGACTTTCAACCAACTTCACACGCACACACACCCGGTAGATTATCATAAACTTCCAATCGACCCGTAGCAATTCCAATCAGTTCAAATTTCAGGAATCAATTATTCGACCGTTTAGCAGGGGCGGAGTTTTGTATACCATCATCCCCTTTTCTCATCGAAGAACACAGAAAGCCGACATACCATTTCGTAATAAAACTCGATAGAACCTGGAACTCCATTCAAATCGTTCCCTATAACTGACCTTCGTCTCGGTAGATCCGGGTGGTTTCGGAGCCTGCCTCTTGTGAAACGGTCGCTTGTCCACACCACGTCTCTGACATACTTCCATCTTTCTAGCAGGTGTTTCCTCTGAGTCACCCGTTTCTCCATCATCCCCGGTGTCGGTCGCGTCGTCAAGACCATCCGCTACGGATCCTGGCGTGCTCGCAGTTCCATCCGCGGCCCCTTTGCCCTTCTTTCCTTTCTTTCTAGCCTCGCTTTGCAGATTGCCCATGGCAGGATCGCGCGGCGACGCTTCCCTTGCCGCGAGACTGTTCGGCCCACGGCAGGAGGAGGCGGTGGCTCGTTTGACGTCTGATGCAGCGGTTGCGGCTGCAACGGTGGTGAATGCAGCCCCGACGTCCCCGGCATAGAATGCTCGGAACGTGTTAATACAGAAACGGACGACGTCGCGCAGATTTTGGCTGGCGTGCTGTGACGCGGCTGCGCTCTCGTACATCCTCTCCTTCATCCCAACTTCGGTCGATACCACCAGTCCTTTGCTTCTTCCGCAACAGTCGCCGGTGCCTTCTAGCGCGGACACGCGTTTACGCGTGCCGTTACACTCTGTTCCTTGCGACTGTGGCGTTGCAACTGCCGAGAAGATTCTTTCGGTCAGTGGTTTTTGGGAAAGATGCCAAGTTCAGGCTCGCCTACGGGAAACATTGTCGTAATGTCGTAGTGTTCGATTGACAGGGACCCGGGAAAGAGGTAAGGGATTCGCGGTTTTATTCCCGGCGAGTGAATTCGACGATTCGATGGTCGGCCTGTCGTTTAATGCGTGTGAACGATGGTATGATATGTATGGTTGCGAAATAAGTCACCGATCTGACTTCGAAAGTAACCTTCGATCGTTCCCTGTTGTTGTTGCTGTTGCTGCTGACACAAATAGATAAGTCGCTTCAAGGAAATGAATATCGGAGTTATGAATATGGAAGAGCGTTTTAATTACGAGGGGAGGTATGTCACGTCGAATGTTTGAGTTTCCTTTTACCTGACCGGAAAAAACTATCCGATCGATCCAGGATCAAGGTCGGGACGGTGCAAATGCAGACAGCGCCCCGTAAATGAATATCGCGAGGAAAACGCGTAGTATTTACGTATTCAATGGTTCGAGCGGCGCCACGCTGTCTTTGTCGAACCACGATCGTTGTATCTGCGGATCCCATTCGTTTTGGAAAGATGAACGACGCTCGTCACAATTTCTTCGATAGACGCATTTCCTTTCGGATCGTTTTACGTTCGAGCATCACGTGCGACGATGCCACTTGCCTCGGTGCTTCCTCTCGTCGAACTATCGATTCTCTAGGAAGAGAAACTCTAGCGGATACCTTCTCGATACGAGATGAGAGCTTTTCACGTAAAATTTCGTCGTTTCTGGTGTCGCTTTCGCGAGAACTCTTTTTACGAATAAGATACACTTCCATCGAACGAGTTAAGATTGTATCTGCCCCTTGTTTCGTGCGTTTCTATACCACCCGTGCGCAAAAATTACGCCTGAGACAAATGAATTCACGTTCCACGGAAATACAGAGAGATACGAGCGACCGGAGGTCGTTCACCATGACATTATCGTCTCCATACTCGTAGGAACTTAATACATGCAAAGAAATAACTGTAAAGCCTACACGCATAACGAGGAACAACAGGCTAATCCGGCATAAACACCGAGACTGTTTTGCATACCTGTACGAAACGCGCAGGTCCGTGCAGTTAGGATGAGAGACGCGAGACGCGAGGTGTTGTCGAAGGATTATCGATATGTTCGTTTATATATTCGATGTCAGCTGAGTACATACAGAGCGTTTGTTCTATATCAGCCTTATTATTCGCCTCGGAGCAAGTTTAATAATTTGATTGGAACTCGTGGATATTTAAGAGACATCAGAAAGTTTGTTGTTTTATCGTTTATTTTATATCGCAACATAAAATTTGTACAAATAATAATTCGTAATAATATCGTAACTATAATGGACGATAATTGATATATATGCATATGTGTCGATCAATATATATCAATTTCAAATTTGCACGCGACACGCGTGCGTCCGTGGTGCGCGCGCATCGCAACGCTTCGAGCGCCTTGTCAGTGCGCGTAACCACGCGATCGCACGCGCAACAATCACTTGAACCGACTTATGGTACGGTAGAGACCTATCTGACAACGCGAAAACCTCGCGACAGGCGCGTGTCTTATCGCGATACGCTTTCCGTTTCGGAAGCGATACAATATTTGGTCGGTCGGTCAATCGATCGGTTTGTCGTTGAGAAACGGAAGAACGGTCATTTCCCATCGCTTCCGGAGACGGTCCAAGATTCGAGGAACGGCGAAAAATTTTGCATTTTTTCCATCATTCGCGAATTGTTGCGTTTAAAAAGGTAAATGAAAGTCCAAGATATATAATCTCGGAAACGAAACGGTCTATATGTATATACATATATGGAATATCAGAACAAGAATTAAAAAAAAATTCTATTAGCAGCAAATAAAGGAGACACCGTCCCGCGGTCGATAAAAATGCTCGCCCGTTCTCCCGAACGTTAAAAAAGAAATCATGTTCGTATCTCGGCGAAGAAATGAGATCACAAGTCGAAAGGAACGAACGCGTACGATCCGGCTGGTCCTGTTTATATCTCTCCTTTTCCTTTGCTCGCTCTTTTCCTCTCTTTCCTTATCTCTATATCTCTGCGGTCTCCCTAATAGCGCGCGTATATTTGACACGAGTACTAGAACACGAATTGAAACACGATTTTTCGGCGAACGTCGACGGCGTTCGCAAGAGCGGTACAAAAATAAGGACTTCAACGAAGGTCGCTACGTACGCGAGATTTCTAAACACGCCGCGTTAATACTACAAAACTAAGGGGACGCACGGTAGATGCACGAGCCAAGAAATATCCTTTCAACGTTAAAAGCGTAGCTATCGTTAGTTCGGGCTGAAACCGCGTACTCCCTCCGCGGTGTTCTAACGCGAGACACGAGAACGTAACGGACCATCCGAGCATTCCACTTTCTCTTCGGTTGGTTAATCGTCCTTCTCCCCTCGTTCTCGTTCGTATTGAATACACGGAACGAAAGGAGAACGAGGCGCTCTCAGATTTCTTTGGAATCCCTCGGGCCCTGTCCGCGGCCGTGTCCCACTTCGTTAAGTACTGATACGTTTACCGTTATTTACAACAGACGAACGCTCGAAAATTCCAGCCAGGCGAAAACGATCGTGCGTGCGTTTTTTTTTTTTCATCGAAAACGCGACGATTCTCGACTTGAAAAAATGCGCGTATCACCTACGCGTCGCTGTCGAACGTCAGACTTATTGCTTAAGTTAATAAGCGCGTCACGGCGCAGTCGAGTTATGGTACATTTACAGAAAAAATCGTCCCCGATCGCGGGAACCGCGGGGATCATCGCTCGAGTCGGCGGCATCGTCCACGATATAAAAGTACAAAATGCGTAAAAGCGTCGCAACTCAAACGTGTCGAGTTCTATTAAGAACAGCGAGACACGTTCGAGCCTCGACGCTCCACGGGATTTTTTCTTCGTTTTTGCTTCTCGAAAAGGTTTATGGCCTCTTATGGCATCGCGTCAGCCTTCGTGTGAGATTCTTTTCTCTCTCAAGACTCGATCGTCCATCTTCGTCGCGGTTTGTACTTACATGCTACTTAAATATAATACACATCGAACAATATATCGGTCGGCGAGAAACGAATTTGACCTCCTTCTTCCACCTAAATTATCAGCTGCTTTCTAGGTTTCACAATTGTTCCGACAAAATGATCACTCGTAGCGTTTGGATCCCGTCGTTGTCCGCGAATTCGTCGGTTCTCTCCAAAGATTCCTCGTCTTTCATTAAGTTCCTCGTCGACCCGTGCTCGCAGCCCTCCGCTTCCGCTCTTACCTCTTCCGGCGCGCGATTGTTGGACCCCTCGACATCTTCCTGTTTCTCATTCGCATCCGTTTCCCGCATTGCGGAGACCGCTACCGTCGCCGTCGACGTGGTCACGGTGGTCGTGGTGACTCTAGTCGTCGGCAGACTCGAGGTTCCCTCGAAACCCGAGAACGCTGTCGCCGTGCGAGCGGTGAAAGGAAAATTGCAGCATGTCTCGGAATATCTGCCGATACTGTCCGCTGTGTTGTCGTGATCGTTCCTGACTAGAGCAAACTTCGACAAACGTCCCAGAGTTCGCCCTCTAGCTTCGCAATTTTCTTGCAATTGGAACGACGAAGCGTAGCCGGATACGTCCAGATTCGCAGACTCGATTCCATCGAGATTACGGTCGAAAGTCTGTAACGTGGTTCCCGCGTCCGTGTGGTCGATTCTGTGACGAGATTCGAGAGAGTCGAAAGAAACTGACTTCGTTGGCCTGGCCAGATCAACGACGGACAACGTTTCGCAGGAATCTAATCGACATCCGTCTCTTCTCTCGTGTCCGATCATCGATGCCATACCGATCAGAGGAACGTTGGTCGTGGACGCGACGGGGAACGCGTTAGAGGCGCCAGGCGCCACATTTGCCCGGCTAATTTGTCCCGGGATCTCTGGTACCGGATCCAGTTGTCCGATACACTCGAATCTTCGAGGCGACAGCATCCCGGAAACGACGCTGTTCATTCCTGAAAGAAATCTTGGCGATCTCAAGCCGGTTCTTAAGGTGGACGGCGCCTCCGGTTCGGTGATACCTAACAGTCCAGACTTGTCGATGCGTCGAACCGTCGGTGAAGCTCCGTCTGGATCGTCGTACGACCTTCCTCGAGGTTGACCGCGGCGCACGGAGTACGGATCGCCGGCGAACGGAAGCGAATTGGCCGCGTACGTTTCTCGATAAGAAAATCGTACAGGGGGTGGGTAGCTGGGAGTTGCGGTGGGATTTTCGGCGATGGTTATCGTCATCACGGTCGTAGCAGCTGGCATCGAGGTACACGCCACGGCGTTAGACGACGAAAACGTAGTGGTGGATGGAGCCGTGACGATGGCGTTCCACGAAGACATGGTC